TTTTTACATCTTAGTCCCTGAGTCAAACTAATATAGAAAATGGATCAGATGATGTCTATAAGAAATAACAGAACTGGTTCAAAACTCTAACATTTCAATAGACTTCATTAATGGTCGATCCAATATAGTGCAATGACTAGCTTTCTACTGTTTTCCTTTGAAGTAAAAATTTCTCCCTAAAAATATTGCTCATTTCAAGTAAAAATATCTTGCCAGATGTTTTTTGACCTTCAATATCTGCCGATTGAACAGAAAATTGGTCCGGAAATGAATGAACTCAAATGTATCTTTAAAATGTGCTGAAATCAGAGCAGATTTCTGTGAAATATAGATTCTGAGAATTGAACTCTTAAAGTGAGAGTCAAGAAGTTTACAGACATTCCTGTTGCTACCTATTAATAAGCTTTAATCCAAAATATCAAAATGCAAATTATCCAGTCAGGAATTTCAGTCAATTTCGGGGTGTTCTGTGCTTTAAAGATATTTAAAATTAAAACAAAACATTCATTTAAATATCAGGAGATTACTGTTTGATGTTTGTACCGTTTTGACACAGCTACCACTACTTGACTACAAATTTAATCTCATTTTATTGCTGCATATTGATATCATTAAAAAGCAGTAAAGATGGAAATCTAACACTCTTCAAACGTGACATTGAAACTAGAATTTTTATTGAAATATTGAGCAACACAAAAAAAGTCTCAAATGCCGACAAGTTTTTCTTCTTAATGCATACAACTTTTTTTTAAAAAAATAGCATACATTAACGACATTGTCGCATGAAGAGACAAAAAATTGTGTCAACTAAAAAGTGCTAATCATTAAAAAATTTACTATAGTTTGCAAATTTTGCTTCCACTTTAAAAAGAATTAAAAAAAGTTTTTTTTTTGTATTATTCATAAACTTCCTCTTTTTTTCAATGAAATGGAGAAATAAAGCAGAACTAGTGTGGATGTGGTTATAATCGGGTGAATAAGGCGCATTTTTCAAAGTAGGGTGTTGATAGATATGGATGAAGGGAATCCAGCTGAGACTTAATTAGGACTAATCTGCGATTGAGCTGAGAATAAACTGAGAATGAACTGTGACTGAACTAAGACTGAAATGAGATTTAACTGTGACTGCACTGAGACTGAACTAAGACTGAGCTGAGAATGAACTGAGACTGAACTGAGTCTGAACTAAGAATGAACTGAGACTGAACTGAGACTGAATTAAGACTAAAGTGAGACTGAACTAAGAATGAACTGAGACTGAACTGAGACTGAACTAAGACTGAACTGAGACTGAACTGTGACTGAACTGAGACTGAACTGGGACCGAACTGAGACTGAACTGGGACCGAACTGAGACTGAACTGAGACTGAACTGAGACTGAACTGAGACTGAACTGAGACTGAACTAAGACTGAACTGAGACTGAACTGTGACTGAACTAAGACAGAACTAAGACTGAACTGTGACTGAACTGAGACTGAACTAAGACTGAACTGAGACTGAACTGTGACTGAACTGAGATTGAACTGAGACTGAACTGAGACTGCACTGAGACTGAACTAAGACAGAACTAAGACTGAACTGAGACTGAACTAAGACTGAACTGAGACTGAACTGTGACATAACTGTGACTGAACTGAGACTGAACTAAGACTGAACTGAGACTGAACTGAGACTGCACTAAGACAGAACTGTGACTGAACTGAGACTGAACTGAGACTGAACTGAGACTGAACTGAGACTGAACTGAGACTGAACTGAGACTAAGCTTAGACTGACGGACAAAATAATCTCAGATACAATAACTATACCCCTTTTGGAAAAGAGCGCCAAAAATATGCTGAAAGCGATAAAAAAATTAATTTTTATTAGCATTCGCATTTTTAATTTCGAAAATAACTTTTTATTTCTCGATGAATATGAATGTCAATTAAAAAGAGCTTGCGTAATTTTTTTTATTTCTTTTTGAGAAATAGACAAGAGAGCGTCGCGTTCATAGACAGCGTAATTAATCAAAATGCTTTCAGCATAAGTCATTTCAAGAATGAGCACATGTATTTTGCGCAAAATATTGTATGCATGTTATTCAAAAATATAAAATTTATTGCTCATTATAAAAATTGACATAATTAACACGATTACGATTAAGTAAATAAACTTATAATAAAGAAAATACCGATTTAAGTTACTTTATAGCTATGCATAAACAAGACTTAAGCCTTTGAGGTATGAATTTTTATATATTTTTTTTTGCAATAGAATTACTTTTTTCACTTAAATTATTTACACAGTTTCTCTTAATATAGAGTTGTAAGTGACAATAAGCTATGTCTATATGCATTTTGCCTTTTTACAGTCGATTTATGGCCGGCAAAAATTGTAAAGAAAAATTATTTTTTTTTTAAAAAAATTTCTTTTGTAACTCTTAAGTTGAGGTAGACTAGGGTGCTGTGACTAGCTTGAGATATTAATCAGCACAAAATTGACTGCAAATCAGTATGACATTCCCAACGTCCTTGCCCTAATTCTCTTATCTTTTAAATCTACTGCAAACATCAAATTTATGAAATTCCAAACTTGTAAATATTGACTAAAATCAGGACAACAGAACCTTGTTTGCCTGCAAATCCAGCTGATATCATTTTTTTTTTGTTTGAATTGGGTCAGGTTTTTATCGAGTGACAGATATCAGAATTCTTTGTGCAGATATCAATCGACAATTGCATAATCGTGATTTAAGTCGATATCAAAAATGTTAGCGCCTGATAAGATTATCAGTTATGCGGAAATAGAAGTGATTTTTTTGGAATAAAAAGTAGGTTTATGTATTTTTTTGGGGTGTTTATGCTGTTTAGGATGCCAAATGAAATTAAAAACTACATAAAATTGAAATATAGGTTTAAGATTTTGGCGCCATTTTTGTCATGGTTTTCAAAGGGGCAGTTCACTTATGACGACCGGGGGGGGGGGGGTCAGCAAGAAAAGAATAATATAAATTTCAGGAAATCCATAGTTCTTTTTTGAAAAATGACCGTTAAGTTCAGACGTCATTTTTGAACGGCCCCAAAAATAATTTTCACAATTTTTCAAAAACCTCCAACTAAGAAATTTCTCAAAATTCACTCTTAAATTAAAATAATAATAATAATCTCAACATAGATGACGATTCAAGTCAATTAGTCATCTCAGCAAGACGATAAAAAAGCATAAAAATGCCATCAAAAAGCCATTCGAAAAAAAAACATAAAAAAAATTAAAACTCTTTTTTGATGTATTCAGCTTTACTCTATGCAAATGACTGAAAATAATGTCTTGAAAGGGTAATTAACGAGATATGGGTGAAGACTAGTTTTAAATATTTTAATTCGCATTTTAAAAAGTTCAACAAGGCAATCAGACTAAAATTAGAGTTTATTGGAAAACAAACTTGTTAAAAATTCTATAAAAATGTTTAAATCCATTATCCTGAATGGCAAGATATTAAAATTATATCTAGTATTAATTTTTGGACATAGATGGACTTTAAGTAGCTCATGTTGTGATGTCGTGGAATTTTTTGATGGCTTTTTGATAAGCAGCAGGATACGAGAGTTTTGCATTTGACATAGTTGTTGTTTTGGTTGATTTTGATGAATTTTATTGTGGACATTTATAATTTTTTTGTGGCTAATCCAAAGTCAATTTTGTTGAAATTCTTGTTTTAATTTTAAACTTAGTTTTTCACTTTATTATGTCGAAATCTTCATAGATTGAGCTTGAAATTGTTGTTTGAATTTTAGTTGACTAGACATATTCAGAAGTTGACCATTATTCAGACACAATTCTATAAATTTTACATAGACTTTCGTTGGGATTCTTGCAAATTTTAAAATTCTTCAATTTCAAGACTAAATTCTAACTTAGTCTTCTCTAAAATCCAATAATTTGTTTCCTTAACATCACCAAATCAAAACTCAAAAAACACAAACTCAAAACATTGAGCTAAATGACATCATAATTAATTTTAACTCTAAAATCCACCTGATTTCTAAGGTCTTTTGTAATCCCATCATTCCATTTGTTTTACTAAACCTTACAGCCTATTACGCTTTATGCGTAAAAAAAATCTTATCTATCTATAAATTGAAGGATTAGTTCTCTTTTATATTTTTACTCATCTTATCCAACCTTAAAATCTAATCTTTGTCGCTAATCGTGCGAGAAGTTAAATTCCGAAATTCCGTGAGATTATGAAATGTTTACATTTGCAATTCATACTTTCGGTAGACGAAATTTAACGCACGTCGTCCCTGATTACGATAAATTTTGTTTCGCGAGGTCAAGGTCGTTCATTTATAAAGTGGGAATTTTTTAAAAATCAATTTTAAATTGCGTGTGACCTTGAAGGCGATATTTGTTGGTTTTGCTGAATTGATTTACGGATTGTGGGGTAAAGTGGATTTGGAAATGGAACTTTGATTCTAATTTGGTGATCTTGTAGGCAGAAAATTAGATGTTCAATGTTTTGATGTTTTGTTCAGTTTTGTTATAATAATTCATCACGAAATTGAAGATTGAGTTGAATAGAATCTTAGCAGAGTGGAAAATTGACACTTTTGGAACCTAAAAGCAAGTTTATCCTTAAAGAAAGAGGTGCTTGAACATCAAAATCTCTCAATTTGACAAAGTTTCAATCAATAAACTGTATTTCCAGTACTTAAGTCTCAAAAAAGACAAATTAACTTACTAAGACTCGAACCCATGACCGCAGGATTCTTAAAAGTGATCTTCAGATACCAAACTACTTGACAATTGCTCCACCAACCCACTTCAGCTCACAAATTAAATTATGCTTATTTCTAATGCAAATACAATCACACGACTCTTTTAATACATTGTAGTAATATTCATAATAAACAGAAGATATGACATCAACTTCTTTACATTTTAAACAAAATAGATAATGAGTGTGTGTATGCTCATATGTCTATGTATGAAAAAATAATAAAATTTAGACTCACCTTTGAGAAACGATTCCACAAGCGACTTAAGATTGCTAGTTTTACTAAGCTCTTCTTTCTCGCTACTCTGCGATGATAACGAACTCGCTCCGAGTAATGAATATGAATTACTTAGCCAAACAAACGCAACTATTATACAGACAATCACTAGAATTGCTAATATCAATTTGACATAAGCGTTTTTGGTCCATCGTGGTGTCGTCATTTTTTTAAAAACTTATTTTTTTTTTTTATTATTTTAAAAACTATTTTCACGAAATCTTTTTTCTTTTTTTTTTTAAAATATTTTAACAAATAATTAAGATTAATATTAACAGATTATTAGACACTCTTATTATTTTTGTTATGGAAAGTATCGATGATGATGATGATTATTTTATGATTCTGTTGATGATGATGATGTGCGGTGTAAAACCGTCATTAACTATTACTGTTGGTTGTGAAAAGAGATAGAGAGATTCTGCAATGAAAAAAAAGACAAAAAATTAGGAATTAACGATAAGATAACAACCAAGGGGACAATCAGATATGACGTCCGTAAAAAAACATGATTTCAGACCAGGGGCATAGCCAGAAAATTTTTAAGGGGGGGGCCCATTTTCGAAAATTAAACAACCGTTATTTTGTATCCTTAAATCTATATTCATTCTTCATAAGTTTAAATATTTAATTCATTATTCATACATTAAATTTAATTTTTCATGCTGATTTTGACATTTCTTTCATCACTTCCTCTACATTAACTGGTTCTTCTCTATAAATACTTAATAAAACAATTATCAGATTTTCGTAGGGGGGGCCCGGGCCCCCTATGCCCCCCCCCTGGCTACGCCCCTGTTTCAGACCCTACATCCCCATTTGTCACAAAATTTACATGGAAAAAGATCCCCCCCCCCCAAAAAAAATCTCGGACGTCATAATTGAACGACCCTCAAAGGAATATTCCAAAGAGACATTTGCGTGCATGACATCATATGACAATGTGACTTATTTTTTTTGTAATTTTAGAATAACTTCTTTTAATTGACTAGAATATTGGCTAGAAGTGGGCAATTTTAATTAAATAGCAAAAAAAGTCACGCTGTGATGATGAAAAAAAAACTTTTTTTTATTATTTATTGCGCCATCGCGCATATGCTAATTTTTTAATTTTTTTTCTCTTCTCCACTCCGGCTAGATGAGAAACTAGCTGGAAATTTACGAATGTGAATAAATTCTCAATCTTTCATTTCTATTCCGTCTAATGAATTTGACTATCTTACACACATGACGTGAATATAGATAGTGAACGTGTGTCTATTTTGAAGCGCTGGATATGCTTAAAATTTGGCGATTCTGATGGATTTCTTTGATGTCGGATGATGTGTCTTATGACTTGGTGATGTATTTGATTGTGAGTTGAATTTGAGGGATTGTTAAGTGAAGAATTGGTTTATAATAAGTATTTAGTGTCTCAGGAAGAATTGAGAATCTGAGGAATTTGCTTAGAGTTTTGTACTTAAATATGCAGCTTGGAAATCTAAACTTTTCCAAGTTTGAGTAGCTGAGGAGTTCAGTGACTTAAATAATCATCTTTGAAATCTTCAAACCACAAACAAAACTTCTTGGATTCGAACCAAGATAAACTTCTTGGCATAGCTTTCGATCTTGCGATTTAGAGTTTGATGATGAAGTCAATGGTTTAATGAAGTCAACTAAAATCAATTTGACTTTTCCATTCAAAAGTTGACAAAATCGATATAGCTTCTAGACGTTCCAAGAGGTTTTCTATGTTGCTGGTGTAATAATTCCATTTTAAATCTAATTGGAAGCAAATTCAAAACTTTTGAGAAGAGAAAGTACTGAGCCTTGGTCAAAAATCTTAAAATCATGCTTCAGGACTCACTAGTTTGTATCTAAAATCTCAAGACAGCTTAATGCTTCTTAATGAGCTTAATGATCTAGGTCCATCACACCCAAAACCTTATCCATCCTTTCAAAACTTTAATATAGTCAACTTTCACCGACAAAAATCACCAGAAAAATTTCATCGATTACTCCACGACCTTGTCAACCGCTAAAAATTCGTACTTTCTAATCCTGTTGCGAAAGATTAGATAACATTTTATCGTAATTTGTGATATAAAAAAAATTTTAGTCACATTTTTAATTTTAATCGTAATCAGGTCTCCCAAAACTAATCCCTTTACATATTTATTCAAAGTCGAATAAAAAAATTGAGTTTACAGGTGGAACCTCTAGCTAGAAACATGCCACATTGCTACATGGAATGTATTGACTTAATTCCATAATCTCATTAAACATTAAAGTAGCTTAATGTTATGAGAAAACATACTAAAAGCTAGAGACATTATGAGTGGGCGATTATTGGACTAAATGTGAATAGATCAACATCCATAAAGCTAATTTCATAGCTTTTTTTTTATTTGTCTCAATTATTATTATGTCATGTCTCGATGTATGCGATATTTTTAGAGATTTTATGGCTAATGTAGCTATCTTTTTTGTATTTGTCTAAATACTATATTTCCTCAAATACATTTTCATTCACGAAATAAAATTAAAACATGTAAAAAAAGAGAGCGAAAGATAAAGTTCAATTCTTCTTTTTATTCACCGTTTCTTCTGCCGACTCTACAAAATATGACGTTTTGTTAAGATAAATAGATGAAGGTTCAAGTGGAAAAATTATTAGGGACATTTTTTTAGGAAAATCGGAATTGATTGAATGTGAATATGAAATAGAAGTATTAAAATTCATTGTAGTTCTTTGAGACTTGAACCTTTGAAGGTTTACTTAATAAAAGATTTCTAATCTTTTGCATTTAATTTTTTAAATGTTAAGTGGTAAAATACAAATATAATCTATACAGAGGAGGTTCATTCATTTTTGACGGATGTTTAGACCCAACCTGCTCATCCGGCAGTCTGAGGTATTGCAACACTTACACACGAAGAAAGGGGAGAATTTCCTTGCAACATCAAATTAAGACTTTAAGACACACAGACCTAGAGAGACAGACCTAGACAGACAGAGCCTGACAGACAGACTTAGACCAACAGACCGAGACAGACAGACCAAGACAAACAGACCTAGACAGTCAATAAACTTCAATTTCCCAACTTTTAATCTAAATCAATTCCCATTGCTGTCAAATTTAGACCATGCTAGTCTAAACTATCTTAAGCTATACAATAAACATACAATTTATCATCCAACATTTAATTGATCAACAATCATGAATGGACGAGAGAAGAAAAAGGTACAACATAGAGAAAAATTTCACCATTCTTATCTCCTATTAAACAAACAGCACGAAGTTGATAGCTTTTTATCTCAAAAGAACTGCAATGAAAGCTTAGTGTTGCATGTTCTTAGATAATTTACAAGACAATTGCGAGAAAGCAGGAATTTTTCAATAAACTTCTATGCTGTTTATTCTGTTAAAAGTAATGGAGCACATCGCGTGTCGATAGAATAATGTTCAAGTCGTACATTTAACTCTCGAATATTGTTTTAACAGAATATAGACGTAGGCGGATCGCATTATTTTTTATAATCCAATTTTGCAAAGTGAATTTTTTTTTCTTACTCTCATTTGATGTCTGTTATCTTGACCCGAATTTCAATTCTCTCCTCATCCGAACATACACCAAAATGATTTTTTTTTTATTTTGAAAAGAATTTATACGAGAGATTGTATGAAATTTTTATGTGCTTTTTATTTTGCCTGGAAAATTTATTGTTGATATTACGAAACATTGTGTGTGTCATAATTCTTACTCAGCCTTCATCAGATTGAATGCATAATGTACAATGGAATTGAGTTTGGATAAAGGAAAAGCTTAAATCGTAAACAATAACGAGAAGACATTAAAGAGTTGTTGGAAGAGATTTTTAACCTTTTTTTGCGGTATGAAGAAGGGAATGTTGGGATGAGATTGGGATTAATGCGCATTTTGTGTTATGATTTAATGTTCAACTAGTCTGAGAGCTCTTTCTTTGCTTCTGGATCTTAACTTAAGACCAACTAGTTTGTTTCCCGCCAAAAAAGTGTTCATACACACAGCCTATATTCACTTCTTCAACATATTGAATTTTCCCGCCAAAATTGCATACATTCCTAACCTAAAAATGAAAAATTCAGTCGAAATCATATCCAATCACAAGAACAACCTCCAACTTGCGTCACAATCATTAAATATGGAACAACACCTTACTATTTGATTAGCTAACTGTTTAATGATCATTATCATACCTCGTCATTTATTTTCTATATTTCAAAAGCAAACAGAATTTGATTATGCCAAAATATCAATGACCTCTCCTACTACACGTGCTGAGCAAAAAATAATAATAATATTAAAATTTATACCTCTAATCTATTAGTTATCAGCACACTGCTTACAATACTGACCAAGTTGAGGAATATTGCGATAGTGTGAATTTTGAGGCTTGCTAAATTTTTATTATCAAATTGTAGCAAAAAAAAAAACACAATGATAAGATCGAAATATTTGTTGCCTTATGGGGAAATGATGTGCAATGTGACAATGAGCACGTTCACCTTTCTTTTGTGGGTGTCATGCGGTAGTCGAGAATCAGATAATCTATGATTTATTAAAGGTTCAATGATCTTGGGATAAGTATTGCTAAATGATGAGATTTAATACTTAATTATGTTACATTTTACGGTACCAAAGAAGCTATGAAGTGCTAAGACTTATCTTATGCAGAAAATCATAAACCGAAACTTGAATTCTCAATCCAAAGAGGATCTTCTATCCAAAACCAGTTAGTCATCAGCCTAATTCGACCAATCAATACTCAACATTTAATCGATTTAATCTTAATCAAACATCCAACTCTCCTAATTAAGCATCAGCCTCTAAAGAAGCCAACATAATCACTTTTCATCACCATAAACATTTTAATTTGTTACTTAATGAATCATTCATGTCCAAATAGTAACATCTGATAAGATTATTTTTTTTTTCAGTGAGTTTTTCAGTTTTTGATCCCAAACCTTGAAACAAAAGATAATTCTGACGCACATTCTTGACATAAAAATGATTGATGGGTGTAGTCTAGTCTGGTGTGGTTTGATTATGGAGATTGGGTTGGTTAATTTTGAGATTTTGGATTATTTCTTTGGTATTGAAGTTAAGGTATACTTCGATGACCGTACCGATCAATTTTGGATCCATGGACTACTTCAGTTGTCGCCGAAAGCTAGCTCTATCGCTGGCTACCGCTTGCCAATTTCTAATTCCAAATGCAATGCTGTTTCTATCAACAGCTTCTTTCCATTAGATTTTTTGAAGTTGAGGTATGATATACATAAGCCCTTGAAGACATAGCTTGAATCAGCTTGGCTAAAGAGAGCCTAGAAGACACCCAAAGTTTTCAGATTCACACTGATCCTAATCCAACCACTTGATCCTCAACTACTATTCCCC